CCTTCTACCAATATACCCACAGTCCCTCCTCTTGACATGTCCAAACCTTCTCAGTCTGGCCTCCCTAACGTTATCTCCCAGGTGTTCAATCTGGGCTGTACCTCTGATGATCTCATTCCTAAACTTATCCAGCCTCGTCACTCCTAAGGAGAACCTTAGCATCTTCATTTCTGCCACTTCCAGTTCTTTCTCCTGTCTTTTTGTCAATGCCACTGTCTCCAGACCATACAATATAGCTGGTCTCACCACTGTCTTGTAAACTCTTCCTTTGACCTTTGCTGACACATTTTTGTCACAAATCACTCCTGAAACTTTTCTCCATCCACTCCATCCTGCCTGGACTCTCTTTTTCACTTTTTTACCACACTCCCCATTTTCCTGGACAGTGGACCCCAAGTACTTGAAGTCCTGCACCTTTGTGACCTCTGCTCCTTGTAGCCTCACTGTTCCACCGGCCTCCCTCTCATTCACACACATACTCTGTCTTACTACGACTGACTTTCATTCCTCTTCTTTCAAGTGCATACCTCCACCTTTCCAAGTTCTCTTCCACCTGTTCCCTGTTCTCACCACAGATCACAATGTCATCTGCAAACATCATCGTCCATGGGGATTCTTGCCTGACCTCATCTGTTAGTCGGTCCATCACCAGAGCAAACAAGAAGGGGCTCAGAGCCGATCCTTGATGCAATCCCACCTCCACCTTGAAGCTATCTGTCACTTTTACAGCACATTTCACCACTGTCCTGCTGTCCTCATACATGTCCTGTACCAGTCTAACATACTTTTCTGCCACTCCAGATTTCCTCGTGCAATACCACACCTCCTCTCTTGGCACTCTGTCATATGCTTTTTCTAATTCCACAAAGACACAATGGAGTTCTTTCTGACTCTCTCTGTACTTCTCCATCAGCATTCTCAAAGCAAAGATGGTATCTGTGGTGCTCTTTCTTGGCATGAAACCATACTGCTTCTCACAGATAGTCACCTCTCGTCTAAGTCTTGCTTCCACAACTCTCTCCCCGATCTTCATCGTGTGGCTCATCAACTTAATTCCCCTGTAGTTGCTACAACTCTGTACATCACCCTTGTTCTTAAAAATGGGCACCAACACACTTCTTCTCCATTCCCCAGGCATTTTCTCACCCTCATATATGCCATTGAGTCAGTCAGAGTCAGAGTCAGAGATTCTTTATTGTCATTCGCACCTCATGTGGTACATGTGGTGGAGCGAAATTATGTACACAAGGTCCCAGTTACATCCAACAATAAAATGTAAAAGAAAACAATGATAACATCCAAGATGTTAACTAAGAAAAACATCAACTAAATATACAATAAGCACTATTAGCATAAAAACATTACGTTGAACAGCAGCATGAACATGAACATGAGTTTGTGTAAGCAGATGAGCACGCATGAACACATCAACATTGAAACAGATCAGCAGCAACATGATGTGATTTTTCACAGTGATTATTCTGGTTAGAGATTCATGAGTCTAACAGCTTCAGGGTAGAAGCTGTTCCTCAGTCTAGTGGTTCTACACTTAATGCTTCTCAACCTCCTTCCTGAGAGGAGCGGGGCAAAAAGTGTGTGTGCTGGGTGAGTGGGGTCCTTCATTATGCAGGTGGCCCTCTTCCTGCATCTGGAGGTGTAAATGTCGGTGATGGTGGGGAGACTGACTCCAACAATCTTCTGTGCAGCCTCCATGCCACACGTTGATGCTGGAGCACAGGATGCTCTCCACTGCACACCTGTAGAAGGAGGTGAGGACTGAGCTTCTCAGACCAGCTCGTCTCAGCCGTCTGAGGAAGTAGAATCTCTGTTGAGCTTTCTTGATCAGGCTGGTAGTGTTGTTGCTCCAGCTGAGGTTGTCATTCATGTGTACACCCAAGTACTTGTAGCTGGAGATCACTTCCACCGCAGATCCTCTTATGTTCAGGGGGGTGTAGGTGATTTTGTTCCTTCTGAAGTCCACAATCATCTCCTTTGTCTTCTTCACATTGATGTGCAGGTTATTCTCTTTGCACCAGCTCTCCAGGTGTTCCACCTCTTGCCTGTAGCTGGACTCATCATTGTTTGTGATGCATCCCACCACCGCTGTACCATCTGCAAACTTTACAATGTGACAGCCTGGATGAGTAACTGCACAATCATACGTGAGCAGAGTAAACAGGAGGGGGCTTAAGACACATCCTTGAGGAGAGCCAGTGCTGAGGATTATGGTGGAGGAGTGGTTGTGGATCCTCACTAACTGTGGTCTGTTTTTTTAGAAGTCTAGTACCCAGTTGCAAATGGAGGGGCTCAGTTCTAGTGTGAGTAGTTTGTCCATCAGGGTTTGGGGGATCATGGTGTTGAAGGCAGATGTGAAGTCCACAAAGAGCATACGGACGTAAGAGTTTTTCTGCTCCAGGTGGTTGAGCGCAGTGTGGACCACAAAGGAGATGGCATCCTCTGTTGATTGGTTCTCATGGTATGCATACTGATGAGGGTCCTCGTTGATGTTGATGGTTGTTTTGATGTGGGTCATGACCAGTTTTTTTAAGCATTTAGCAACTACCAGGGTGAGGGCCACTGGCCGATAGTCATTCAGACCAATTACTGTAGAACTTTTTGGGACTGGGATGATGGTGGCAGTCTTCAGGCAGGTGGGAACTGTCTCCAGGGTAAGTGAAGTGTTAAAGATGTCTGCCAGCACCTCACAGAGCTGATCGGCACATTCTTTCAACACTTTTCTGGGGATGCTGTCTGGGCTGGTTGCCTTGTGTGGATTAATCCTCCTGAAAGTACTCCTTACTTCGGCTGAGGTCAAGCTGAGATGCTCTTCATCCGGTGATGAGGTGAGTCTGGTGCTGGGTGGTATGTTCGGGTCTTCAAAGCATTCATAGAACTTGTTGAGGGCATCAGGCAGAGATGGGTCTTTGGAGCATTGTTCGCTCCATCCTTTATAATCTGTTACGCACTTAATGCCCCTCCACATGCTTTAAGGGTCTTGTGAGATGAATTGACACTCGATCCTCTGTGCATATGTGGCCTTGGCCCTCTTAATACCAGCAACCAGCTCTTTCCTTCTCCTTCTCTGCTCCTCTGAATTTCCAGACCTGAAGGCAGTGTTCCTGGCTGTCAGCAGGGTGTGCACCTCTGCATTCAGCCAAGGTTTTCTGTTTGGGTAGCTTTTAACATATCTGATAGCGGAGACAGTGTCAGTGCATGTACTACTGTAACCCAGAACTGAGGATGCGTATTGGTCCAGATCAAGCGATCCTTCATTTTCAGCAACTTCTCTAAAAACCTGCCAGTCTGTTCGATCAAAACAATCTCTCAGTATGGGGCCACTGTCCTGGATCCAACATTGAATATTTGAGTCAAAAACCTCACTGCCATCTCTCGAAGACATTTCCAAATCTCCACTGGTATGCCATCAGGTCCTACTGCCTTCCCCTTCTTCATTATTTTCAGAGCTTTCTGGATTTCACCCTCACTAATCTTTCCCACTTCCTGGTCCACAGTTTTAATAACCTCTACTCTTCTTTCTCTTTCATTCTCTTCATTCATTAGCTCCTCAAAGTACTCCTTCCATCTTCCCGTCACACTCTCCTCACTTGTTAGAACATTATCATTCCTATCTTTAATAAGCCTAACCTGCTGCACATCCTTTCCAGCCTGATCCCTCCATCTTGCCAATCGGTACAAGTCCTTCTCACCCTCTTTAGTGTCCAGTCTCCCATACAACTCATCGTACGCCCTCTGCTTTGCCTTAGCTACTTCCCTCTTCGCTCTACATCCCATCTCCTGATATTCCTGTCTCTTCTCTTCAGTCCTCTCACTATCATATTTCTTCTCGGCTAATCTCTTTCTTTGAACAAATGATCAAAACTGGGTTTGTGATCCAATATTTGACAATTAAAAGAAACAAAATAGCTTTTTATTAGTTCATTTGTGTTTTCTCGTAACTATTTGATGAGCAGCTATTCATTTTTATCTGCTTTGGGAACTCTGTGTTTAGCTTCAAATATTTTTGTAAATTCAATTTGTTTCTTTTATTCCATTACCAACTAAAGGTCACCTTGTCTCACACATCACATCTGTCAAGTTTTAGGTTTACAGAGTGAGCATGTGAATTTGATCCTTTAAAGTTCATTTGTTTACTTAAAAATCAATCAATAAATTTGTGTTGAACTGATTTATCACATGAGTTAGATTCACATAAAATGCATAATTACAAATAGACTGAATACCAGTTTTTTTACCCCTGGACCATATGAATTCTAATTCCTGAAATACAGTTATGTTAGTAGTAATTCCTGAAAAACAGTTATGTTGGAAGTAATTCCTGAAAAACTGTTATGTTAGTACTAGTAGTAATTCCTGAAATACAGTTATGGAAGTAGTAATTCCTGAAAAACTGTTATGTTAGTATTAATTCCTGAAAAACATTTATGTTAGTAGTAATTCCTGAAAAACAGTTATGTTAGTAGTAATTCCTGAAATACAGTCATGTTAGTAGTAATTCCTGAAATACAGTTATGATAGTAGTAATTCCTGAAATACAGTTATGTTAGTAGTACTAGTACTACTACTATTACTACTATTACCACTACCAACACCACCACCACTAC